GACCAAGGAAGAAAGAAGAGAGACGTTTAAGAATTCTTACTGACTAGAACTTTGGCAAATCGGCTCTGATTCCCTAGCGGAATTATTTTATTTCATTTTGAAAAGATTTATTTATGTGCAAGAGTGTTTTACTTAGCTAGGCATAGTGGTATACGCCAAAAAAGAGTGTTTCATTTGCATGAATATGTACACCATGTGTGTGCCTGGTGCCTCTGTTCCCCAAGTGCTAGGATCTTTGCTCTGGCATGCACCATGATGCCTTGCAAGTATGTATTTTTAAAGCATTACTTAAAAGTTTTTACTAAGTTGAGCTAATGAGTGTGATGAGACACTGACACATTATTTTGTGATCAGTAACTCATCATATGCAGAACTCATATGCACTTTTAACATTAAAAACAAGCAAGAGTAACTATAGTTCCTTCAGTAAATATTGAGTGTTTGTGATGTTATGGATGCCCTATTGAGGATGGAAACCAATATGAAATGATTCTTAAAACTGGCAAGACATTTTAAGAAATTGGTTCTGAGCTTGGGGGTGGCGTACACCTTTAATGCCAGCACTCAGGAGGCAGAGGCAGGCAGATCTCTGTGAGTTTGAGGCCAACCTGGTCTACAGAGATTGTTTCAGGACAGCCAGGGCTACACAGAGAAACTCTGTCTCAAAAAAGAAAAAGAAAGAAAGAAACTGGTTCTGTTACAAATTCATGTTTAAAAGAGCTCAGACCATTGGTAATAATTAGGATGCAAAGCATGTAGCAGCCACTAGGAAGCTGAAAACTGAAAGCTGAGTTTGTAGAGCAGTGCAGTGTATGTATGTACCTTTAATACAGAAGTTCCACTCCTTAGGGAGTTGTTACTGTAGTTTTGTTATAGCAGTTAACATATAAAAATAATTCTGAGGGCTGGAGAAAAGGTTCAGTGGTGAAGAGCATTTGTTGCCTTTCCAGAGGACCCAGGTTTGATTCCATGGGGTTCATAATGACCGTACCTCCAGTGCCAGGGGGTCTGGTGCCTCTTATGGCCTCCACAGGCACAGATGTGGATATAGGCAAAACACCCATACACATAAAATAAAAATAAATAAAATCTTAAAAATTCTGAAGCCATGCAAAGAATTAAGCATTTAGACCTTGTGGTGGGATTATTTACATGCTTGGGAACTCAGATGAACTGAGGAGCACAGAGTAGGAGCCAGGAGAGCAGGTGGGTATTAAAAGTGACCAGCAGTATTCCTGAAGGTGGCCAAGGAGACTACCCCAACTAAGCTGCAATGAGAGGCCCTGTCAACTGAGGCTTAGCATGGTGGTGTGGAGAATAGCTGAAGATAGAGAAGAACACAGGATCTGAATCCTGCATCCCTTCATAGTTACCACATCAGAGATGAAATGGGGCAGTGGGTGTCAAGTGCCTGTTGAGGTGCTCGGTAGACAGCTATTGCTTTGTGAGACGAGGGGGGAGTGTGGCAGCGGGGGAGGTCTTCATGCTTTGATAAATGGAGATGAGGGAGCTAGCAAAGCTTTGGACCTGAGCTGTGTGACTAGGATGGTGGTGGTTACTGTCTGGGCAGGCAGGACTTGGTCTCTGGGCCTCAGGGACAGGAAAAAGCTAGCTGTCAAGAGGGAAGGTGGTTCTGAGTCTAAGCCTGCCAAGTTCTAAGGTCTAGACTTTCTCCCTCCTGCCAGAAGCTTTCGAGCTGGGAAGCCATCTGCTAGGGAATCATGACCCCTGGGAGAAGGACAGAGGCCGGCTCAGGTAGTGACTGCTGCTGTTCGAAGGGTGTGAGCGCCACGTAGTGTCACACACCAGGAGGGAGCAGGTAGGACAGAAGCATGCCCAGCTAGTGGTTGATGGCTGAGGGAAGACGGTGGGAGACAGCTGTGCTGTGTGAACCGGCAGACTGTGTGGGCTAGACGCCAGAGACCTCAGGTACCAAGAGTGGAGTCTATGAGTAGTTTCAGAAAAGTAACTTGTGTGTGTGGGATGGGTGCTCAGGGAGTGGGGAGCAAGTACCTCTGGGTCACTTGAGGCTTCCTAGTAATTCTGTTTGGTGTAGGCAGAATGTTACCTGGTGTGCCATTAGGGAATGAGGAACGAGGACAGAAGAATAGCCTGAGGTGGAGAGGAAGTGTTGTCGGGTCCAGCTGTGCTTTGGTGTGTCCCAGGAGTGGTGGAAGTGGAAGACAAACTTCAAAATTGTCTCATCTGTCTTGCTTGTTGATTTTTTTTTTTTTTTTAAATGTGGGTTGTCGGGGTAGGTTGGTTTTGAGACTGGGATCTCACATTGTGACCCTGGCTGGTCTGGAACTCACTCTGTAGACCAGGCTGACCTAAAACGCACACATCTGCCTGCCACTGCACCTGGCCCAATTGTTATTTTTTGTTTGTTTGTTTTTCAAGGCAAGGTTTCTCTGTCTAGCTCTGGCTGTCCTAGAACTCAGGTGTAGACCAGGTTGGCCTCAAACTCAGATCTGCCTGCCTCTGTCTCCTAAGTGTTAGGATTAAAGGTGTGGGCCACACCGCCTGACTTTTTTTTTCCCCTTTTCGAGACAGGGTTTCTCTGTGTAACAAACAGCTCTGGTTGTCCTGGAACTCACTCTCTAGACCAGGCTGGCCTCGAATTCACAAAGATCCACCTCCCTCTGCCTCCCAAGTGCTGGGATTAAAGCTGTGCACCACCACTACCTAGCCAATTGTTAATTTAAAAAAAAAAAAAAAGAATTACTAGGAAAAGAAACTGGAAAGCACTGGAGAAATGAATCAGAGGTTAAAAGTGTAGGCTGCTCTTTGGGAGGACCTGGCTTTAGTTTCTAGCGCCCGTATAGGGGCACACAATCACTGTGATGCCCTCTTCTGTCCTCCTCAGTCATGCCTGTGGTGACTGACATACATGAATGAGGCAGACGTTTACACACATAAAATAGTTCTAAAAATAATTGAGTGAGTCTCACTTCAAAATGGAGTTGTATTCTCTAGTTGCCCGGTGTATCTTATTTCTGCCACTTTTCCTTCTGCTGCTCACTACATTGTTCTGGGGTGGCTTACTCTCCTTCCCTCAGCCTGGGGTCTTCTTGCCCAGCCTTTAGGGCCCAGCAGGAGCCTTCCCTCAAGCCTGTCTTGGGTCCTTCTAGGTGCTTTCCGGTGCTGATCCTCCAGCTCTACCCAGCTGTCCTGAGCCCATCTCTCTGCACAGCAGACACCCCCGCCTCCATTCTCCTTGCAGCAAGGCTAGCATCCCGTTTGTTTCAAATTAGTGTTCATCATCCATTTCAGTGCTGTTTCCTGTGCACACCCCTTGTTTTGTCCTCCAGACAATCCCACAGTTGGTAGAACAGAATGTCTCATTTGTGAGTTTGGTTTTTTGATCTGTTTGTTTTTTGAGACAGGATCTCACAGGGTAGCCCTGGCTGCCTAGGAGCTTTCTGTAGACCAGGCTGGCCCTGAACTTAGAGATCTTGTCTGCCTTTGCCTCTCAAGTGCTAGGATTAAAGGTGAGCATCTCATCTGTGTTGTGGTAGAGGCAAAGCTGGGAGGGTAGCCTGCCTCCTTTTTGCTGGGCTCCAAGAACACACGGCCCTCTCAGGTACTCACTCTGAAATCTTCTGTGTCGAGCTCGCTCAAGGCCACTCACAATTTTGAAGTCCTCTTTTCTACTCAGTATTTGTTATTTGGGAATCAGACAGTCTCAGTCATACAGTGTCCCAGACCCCTTTGGAGGAAAGTGGGGAACTGGAGTCTGTGGGTTTTCAGTAGTGCCTGAGGTGCAGAGAATGTTGTGAAGGACAGACAGACAGTGACATGCCTGAGAGTGGTATTGTCTCCACCTGTGGTTTTGTCTTGTCCTTTTGATTTACTTGAAATGTGTCTGTGTAAGAGTGTGTATGTGTGATCATTAGACTTGGCAACAAGCACCTGTCCCCTCTGAGCCGTCTCACTGGCCCTCCGCTTGATTCTCAAACATAGGAGGGGTGTGGCTTGCTTTTGTTGAGCAGAAACAACCTAGCATATTGCACTTATGTGGGACATTTCTCCTCGAAGAAAACAAGCATCTTGGAAAGAAGGGAAACCCTGAGTTCAGTCCCTGTGACCCTCATGGTGGAAGTAGAGCACTGCCTTCTACAGCTTGTCCGCTGGCCTCCACATGCTCCACACGGCACCTTTGTGTGCATGCACACAATAAATGTTAAAAAAAAATTTAATGGGGGGGGGTTGGGGACACACTGAAAAGTCACTATTTGCTTTTGACCTTAGAGTACATTGAATGTGTTTTCTCCCCATCTGCTTATGGTCAACAGAACTAGGTTCCAAGTCCAGCTGTGACATTAGTCAGGCAGGATGGTGACTGCTCATGACGTAGGATGTTGCAGAGCTACTGTAAGCAGTAGAGGTGATGGCAGCAGGGAGAGAAGCCTCAGGGTGGTTCTCAGGTCTTGGGGAATCTGGTCACCAGGGAGGCTTATAAAACTACAACTTGTAGGCTACTCTCACCATTTCTGATGCACAGGGTCTGGAGCGGCACTTGAGAATTTGCATTCTGAGTTTCCAGTAAGTGCTGCTGCCTGCCAGTCTGGACCACACTTTGAGTACCGTTAGCTCCAGGTAACTGAGCAGTGGGCCTTCAGGTACTCTAGACACACCCGAGTTGTGTGGATAGACTTATTCTGTTAGAATCCTTGGGATGCATTTGGAAATAAGGAATTTAGAATCAAAGAGGTTTTCCTTCTGAAGTTTGGGAGTCCTTGTCATACACATTTGAAGGAGGAAAAATTGTGGAAACAAAAGTTACAAACGAATATTTTGTAGATAGTCTAACAATATCTAGTTGACTACATATGTGAAATTGCTTTTATGAAATATGAGGTGAATTTAGTTTGTCACAATTGAAGCAGTATTTTAAATAACTTTGTTTTTAAAATTGAAGTTCATAATGGAGTATGAAATAGTTTAGCTTTCTCATCTCAATGTGCTGCTTACCGTGTGTATTTTTCTTCTTCCTCCAGGCTGCTGACTTGAGTAAACCAATAGATAAAAGGATATACAAAGGAACACAGCCCACCTGTCATGACTTCAACCACCTCACAGCCACAGCAGAGAGTGTCTCTCTCCTAGTGGGCTTTTCCGCAGGCCAAGTCCAGCTCATAGACCCCATCAAAAAAGAAACTAGCAAGCTGTTTAATGAGGAAGTAAGTAGCACCCCGCCTGAGCTATTGAACCCCTGTAAGAGTTTCTCTGTTCTTACTCAAGGGTAGCTAGCGGGCCTTATTTTACACATTGAGCTAAGTCCTTTTCATCTGTTCCGCTGTCTTTATCTTGTATCATGCAAGTTTAAATGTTGTAGATGAGTGTCCTGAACTAGTTTTTTCCTCGAGGTCATTGTTTTGTGCATTTGTGCAGAGAATGACCAGCTATCTACACAGATCTTGTAACCCTTCTGCATGGGGGCTGGGGAGATGGCTCAGAGAGCGAAGTGTTACTTTGGATTTCCAGCACCCACGTCAAAAGCCAGGCATGGTCAGTGTGTCTTTAACCCCAGTCTAGGACGTGGGGACTGAAGGATTCCAGGGATCCAGCACTCAGCTGGTCCAGATGACAGTCAGTGAGCTCCAAGGGACCCTGTTTCAAGAAAAAAGACACAGAGCGATAGAGAGAGCTTCAGCGTGTTGACCTCTGACCTCCACAGGTGTGTGCCTCATGGACAGGCATGCCTGCGCACACACATCACTTCTGTAATGGAGATGAGCATATTGATAACTTGAGATGCGATTTTTGTTTGTTTTGAGGCAGGGTCTTACTGTGTATCCCTGACTGGCTTGGAACTCATTCTGTAGACCAGGCTGACCTGGAACTCAGAGATCCTCCTGCCTCTGCCTCCCAAGTGCTGGGATTAAAGGTGTGCCTCCACACCTAGCTCTTGATATGTATATTGTAAGCAAGAAAATACAGAATTCCAGACATTCTTCACATCACAGGACAAGTACATATGGAAGGAATGACTTGGTGACATGCCCTAACGCTGCTTAAATTGCAGCTTAAGCTTTTGTGTGTGCATTTGACAAGCATTTGACTAAGGGGCAGTTCTCATGTTCTTGAAAACATTTCTTGAACAATTACCTTTGGCATGGTTTGGATTCCTGGAACCTAAAATTGAATCACAAGACACAGGTTTTGCCAGTGTTGTGTACACTGAGGTATCTTCAGTTTTCAGATTTCTGATGTATCTTCAGTTCCGTTCAGGTAGGAACTTGAGCTGTCCGACCTACCTATTTAGGAACATGGCAGGATTTTTACAGAGCAGACAGAAGTTGCCAAAGAGATTGTGTTTATTCAAGCCATTACATGGCTTGTCAACCTCCAGGTATCACCACATATTTGAACTCTTTCTCTCCTGCCTCAGTGTGACTTTCCTAGGGAACGGCAGAGATGAAGTAGACTTGAGGTGGACACTGGCTTCCAGTCTCCACCTTGGTACTCAGCCTTTGAAGAAGGGTTGTAATACCTGGGCTTCGTATCAGAAGGACATGTGGTTTGTACTGTAGCTTGATTTTAATATCATGTGCATGGAGCAGGAGCATGCTCTCAATTCTAATGTAAGAAATACATTTTGGGAAGGGGGAAGAATAGCCCCAAACTTGACACAGAGCAGCCACAGTTCTGATTCTTTGTAGTCCTTATGGCATATGCTGTCTGCATATCCAGTACCATCCTGGGTCCTTTTGGGTTTGCTAGGAAAAAACTTGCCCTCTGAATTGACAGCTGAAGAAAAAACTATTTGACCCCATTTTCCTTTAAAAATCTTTAAAATCAGCAAAGAATCTATCTACCCAGACATTTACTAATGCCATCAGAGGAAGTGATTTGTAAGTAGCTGGGTGATTTTACCTACCTACACACCCACCCACCCACCTACCCACCTACCTACCTACCTACCTAATCTGTCTACCTATCTAACCTACCTACCTACCTTGTCTGTCTGTCTGTCTATCAGTCTATCTATCTATCTATATCATCTACCTACCTATCTACTCTATCTATCTATCTATCTATCTATCTATCTATCTATCTATCTATCTCTGTCTGCCTGCCTACCTACCTACCTACCTATCTATCTATCTATCTATCTATCTATCTATCTATCTATCTATCTATCTATCTTGATGGGGACTGGAATAGATAGCAAGGTAGGAGGCACAGAGTTACTCTTCTCTGCACAGTTAACAGAATTGGAGTTGGAGCCGTTATGGGGCTTTGCTTGTGTTTGGGTAGAAGAGCGTGTGATGGACTGGGAATGGATTAAACCCTGTGCCAAGCTGTTGGTAAACAAGACCCAGAGGCAGTTCTGACTGAGGATGGCACAGAATGCCACTTAGAGAACAAGAAAGGTCTGTGTTGTGCTGGGGGAGGATGGGGGAGTTAGAGCCCACATGGCTCTGATGGCCAGACTCCTCCTGCCCTGATGATGGGGCTGCAGGTTAGAAAGCAGACTCCCTCTTCAGGATGTAAAGACATGTTCCTGCCTACTCTTTGATTGCAGTTGGAAGTGGCTGTTCAGAATGCTAGGACTGTGCCTGCTTTAATGCCAGGTTGGCATTTGGAACTTGAGATGGAAACCGAGTGCCCTTCACAAGTCTTTGGTGGTGTGAATCCATTTCTCCCAGGTACAAAGGCTGCACTTCTCAGAGTGACAGAAATGATGTAGAAAGATGTCCTCGTATTCACTCAGCATTGGTGTGAGATTTAGAGGTTCCTGGTACTTGTACATAGGAGGGTAAAAGGTTGGTTTTCATTTTATGTATGAAGAAATCTGCAAAGAAATGCTAAGTGCCGTGTCCACATTAGGTAGCAGGTTCATAGAATTATCATGATAGAGCTGGAACCAGAAATTACTTCCAGAAACTCTTCCTGGTTGTCAGCTCTAAAGCTCCACCAGGTGTAGTTGCCTGTCTGACCTTGTCTTCTCAGCAGCTAAGTCGGTAAGGATAGACGGGTAGAGTCCAAGCATGTGTTGTCACAGTCACATCAGTGACTTACTGATGGGATACGTATTGCTTGTGTTCTTTTGGTTGTTGTTTTGAGATAGAATTTCATATAAATCAAACTGGCCTAGAACTCACTATGTAGACCAAGCTAGCCCTTGAACTCATAAAGATCCATCTGCCACTGCTTCCCAAGTGCTAGGATCAAAGGTGTGCACTACCACACCCAACATGTGTATTCTTTAATATGTCAAATAAAAATGTTTTAGATTAATTTTTTATTTTATGTATATAGATATTTTGCCTACATTTATGTCTATACACCACATTCATGCTTGGTGCCGAGGAAGTCATAAGAGGATGTCAGATCCCCTGGAACTGAAGTTATTAGCCACGATATAGGTGCTGGGAATTGAACTGATCCTTTGCAAGCTCTTAACCACTGAGGCATATATCTGCCCCTTCCCCCATCCATCCCCACTGGTATTTTAAATTTTTCTTGAAAGTCAGATTTGGCTGGAAGCATGGGGTAGCTCACTGGGAGGCTGAGGTAGGAGGATCACTAGTTTGAAACCAGTCTGGGCTTCACAGAGATCCTGTGTCAAGAGAAAAAGAGGGATTTTTTTTCTTTCTGAAAGAGAAAGATAGAAGTTAAATCCAGAAAGAGTCTGAGAAGTATTTCCAGAGTCCAGCACTGATCTGGATCTGGAGGGCACTTGTAAGGGCAGGATGAAGGTAAGGATGCTTCTCAGACTGAAGAAAGGGAGTTAAGCATGGTGCTACATGCCTGGAATCCCAGCACTGGGGAAGCCAGCCTGGGCTGCAGAACAAAACCTCGTTTAAAAACAAACAAAGCAGAACAAAGAAGTTAGGAAGAACATCATTTGGCATTTTCTGGAACATCAAGTGACAACATCATCAAGCCACTGGGTGGAGCTGTTGGTAGTAGCAGAAGTCATCACCAGAAAGCGGGAGTTAAAACCAAATTATTCACGTTGTGTGGAGAAACTTGGACTTAACATGGCAACTGTGGGGGAGGTTTGGGCTTTTAACCAAGGATCAAGTGTGTTTGTTTAGAACTCTTGTCACTTTAGAAAGTGTATTGGAGTGAAGGAAGAGAGCATGGAAGTAGCAAGAGCAGTGAGAATGCTCTAGTAAGTGTCCAGGTGAAAGTTGGGGGCTTGAACTAGACTTCTGACTAACTGCAGGACTGTGTCTGCCTCAGGTAAAACCTGCTTCATGTCACCCCTCTTAGAGGAGAGAGGTATAACCCGGACATCCTGGCCACAGATGATGACCCACTGGGGTGTAGGAAGAAAGTGCAGACTGTTAAACTGGCAGACAAGAAGTTCTGTCAGAGGAAGTAGTGTGCTTCCTCTGATGAGGAGGGCACCAGAGTAAGGACTTGACAGGAAGCAGAGGCAGGTAGATACTCTGAGGTCAAGGCCAGCCTGGTCTACAGATGGAGTTCCAGGACAGCCAAGGCTGCATAGAGAAACCCTGTCTTGAGAGAGAGAGAGAGAGAGATCCCAGAGGACAGCTTCTAGGTAGGGCAATGTGAGGTGAGGAATGAGGATGGAGGGCCTGGTCAGGCAGAGTTGTTTAGGAAGCCTGGGTTGTAGGATCCTGTGGAGAGAACAGATTGTCATGGGGTTTTTTGTTTGTTTGTTTGTTTGTTTTTTGGTGTGTCTTTTTTTTTCTCTGTGCACATGAGTGCAGTGCCTGATGAGGCCAGAAGAGGGCATCATGTTCCCTGGAGATGAGTTAGAGGCAGTTGTGAGCTACCTGACTTGGGTTCTGGGAACTGATTTCAGGTCCTCTACACGAGCAGTAGGGGCACTTAACTGCTGAGCTTACTCTGCAGCCCCCAGGTAGATATTCAGGAAACTTACTGTGGAGGGAGATATTAACAAGCCTGAAGGTACTAGCTGTCACTACATTTAGTGAGACTGGAAATGGGGCAGGGCTCAGTAATAGAGGGAAAGATAGAGGCTGCAGTTTCTTTGGTTCATTTAAGAGATCTGCAGATGCTTGCAAGCTTGCATCTGAAGGGCATGTTATTTGTTTATTAAGTAGGGAGGGAGACAGGTAAGGGGACTCAGAAAGTGCAGGGGCAGTCGCCAAGCTGGACGACTTGAGTTCCATCCCTTCCACGTGTGTGCCATGGCATGCACATATGTACACACACACACACACACACACACACACAC